CTTCCTTTCTTTCTGGGTTTTTAAAGCGTTTTCAAGGTGTTCGATTGAATGCAAAAACTGTGAAGACGAAAACGAAGAAGAAAGAAAACAGAGCAATGCTTAAACCCCTTAAACCCTTTTTCGCATAAACCTTGAAATAGTAATGCTTTTCTTGATTCGCTCAAATCACCATCTATCTATTTCTGGAAAGATCCGAAAGATCAGTTTTTTCTTCTTAACCTAAAACCAGTTGCTACTTCTGCATTTATCTTTTATGCTTTCTGCAACATTACTCTAGTTTTTGCGTTGAACATCCATGAAAGTTTTGCTTCGTGATCGTTGGCTTATGATAATGTTGCTTGGATACCTTATGCAGATACTTTTCAGGAAGTTAAGAACAAAGGAGACAAGAAGAAAGAGGTATTAGAAACAGAATGCAGAGACTTTTTGTAATTTTTTATCTAAAGCTTGAACCTTTAATGTCATATTTCACTTATTTTTTTAGGTTTCGGAGACCAAGGAGACGTCAGATTCTTGCTCTCAAGAAGTTGATAGTAGCATCCAGAATGGTGAATTTAGTAATGGCGATGAATGTGATGAAAGCAAGTCTAACTCGGATGGTAATGAGATGCACAAGACTTTTTTTTTTTTTCTGTTAATTGTGGTTCTAAATCTTGAACAAATGTCTAAACTTATCACTGGGTTTGGTTCAGAGACGAGTAATGTGCAAGGAACCTGTAATCGTTTGGCTGGTTCAGAGACGAGTAATGTGCAAGGAGCCTGTAATCATTTGGCTGGTTCATCTACTACTGCTGGTATCCTTGGTCCATATAAAAGGTTCTTTTCATGTCATTCTTGTTAAATGCCTTTAGTTTTTCATCGCAGTTCTCATTCCCGAGCATATAAGTTATGGCATAGGTTTACTATCTCGCTTGTAACATTCCTCGTTATATCCTTGTCTTTGCAGTGATTTAACAAATGGTGAAACTAAGATAGTGCCAGTAAGCTCAGCTGAAGCAGTTCCTTCAATATCTGTTCCATCTTCTAGGTATCGATCTGTTTGGTGCTGTGATTCTGACCAGAGAACAATGGAAGTATCTCACTTGTAACATTCCTCGTTTTATCCTTGTCTTTGCAGTGATCTGACAGATGGTGAAACTAAGATAGTGCCAATAAGCGCAGCTGAAGCAGTTCCGTCGATATCTGTGCCATCTTCTAGGTATCAATCTGTTTGGTGCTGTGGTACTTCTGGCCAGAGTACAATGTCTGTATCTCATTTGTAACATTCCTCGTTATATCCTCGTTTTTGCAGTGATTTAGCAAATGGTGAAACTAAGATAGTGCCAACAAGCTCAGCTGAAGCAGTTCCTTCGATATCTGTGCCATCTTCTAGGTAACAATCTGTTTGGTGCTGTGGTACTTCTGGCTAGAGAACAATGGCTGTAACTCACTTGTAACATTCCTCGTTCTATCCTTGTCTTTGCAGGGATCTAACCAATGTTGAAACTAAGAGAGTGCCAAAAAGCTCGCGTAAATCAGTTCGTCCGTTACCTCGGGCACCTTCTAGGTTGATATCTGCTACTCCTGCCCAGAAAACAATGGCTGATGTTGTGAAGATGAGTTTAGGTTTGTCGAAAGAGAGTGTAACTAAAGCTCCTCTCAAGGATGATTGTCCCTTACATGAGAAGTCAGATGTTCTATGTCCATTCTCATTAAATGAGTCTGCTGCTACAAGAGATCAACTTCAAGAGGCTGATTCGGTAACCAACCAAGACTTGCGTGATGGTGATGTTACTAATCCATTCTCTAACTCAATTATTGACTCTGCTGGTAAAAGTGATCAATTTCGAGAGTCTGCTGCGATATCCAATCAAAACTTGCGTGATCAAATTGAAGAGTCAGCTTCGGTATTCAACCACAACTTGCAAGATAACAATCTTTCATATTTCTCTAAGTCATTTGTTGAGTATGCTGCTAGACGAGATCAACTTCCAGAGTCTGCTTCGGTATCCAACCAAAAGTTGTGTGATGATGATGTTACTAATCCATTCTCTAACTCATTTGTTGAGTCTCCTGCTGGAAGATATCACCTTTGGGAGTCTGCTTCAGTATCCAACCAAAACTTGAACAATGATTATGGAGGCTCAAGGTTGCTGTGTGACGAAGACAACAACAAAAACGATGAGATTTACCAAGTGGAGAGACATTCTTTTGAGCTCAATCGAAGTGAGATTTTTTCTTTTCTGAAACCTGCAATAATTTCTTTTTCTGATTGTGTTGTTTGATGTTCCATTTGTTCTTATGTCAGCCAAAGATCTTCCGGCGTCTGTTGCCACATGTTTACATCAACTCTCTCTAGAGACTGATGAGCGGAAAGCATCAGTTAACGACGACGAACCCAATCACCAGCAAGTCAAAACTTCAGAGCATTTGATATTTGGTCGTTATGGTTCTGGCCAACCCAGCAGTTTCCCATCACAGTCTTTGAATGATGACTCAGAAGAGATATATGAGCAGAAAGCATCGGTTAAAGACGACGAACCCAATCACCCGCAAGTCAAAGCTTCAGAGTTACCGCATTTGACGTTTGGTCGTTTTGGTTCTGGCCTTCCCAGCAGTTTCCCAGCACACTCCTTAAATGATGACTCAGAAGATACGCCGGACTTGGCAGATGATTTGTCGGTTGAATACCTGCTCACAAGGTAAGCCATTTTCAATCTGCTCCTCTTGCTTTCTCCGTTTATATGTTATGATGATCTCATTAACGTTTTAACAGAGATGATAAGCCTTATGAAGAAGAAGAACAACGACAAAGGAGAAATGTTGGTAATGAACGAATGACAAAACAAGTGCAGTATGAAACTCATGAAAGTGCTCAAGAAAATCAGTCATCTGCTACAGATTTCACAGTTAACAGTAATCAGCGGTTGAATCCTGCTTTGGCTCCTTCAGAACCAAGTCTTCAGATGCAGAATTTAAATGCTTTCACCGATGTTAAGGTAAAAAAACTGTTAACTTTTCTCGCTTGTTCTATTACATCTTAATTCATACTTCCCTTGTGTCATTGTACTTAGGCTCTATAACTAAATCTAGATCTTGTTTAAATCCGTGTTTTTTTTTCCATTTATTTCTAGCATCAACAAGCAGATATAAGAGAGCCGGATTCTCTGTTCCCGACTTTTCCGTTCAATCAGTCAATGCCTACAAAACACAGCATTACCACTGCATCCTCACTTGGTCGTAGGCCATCAGTTTCCATGACCGAGGTAACTCTTTTCTCTCAAAGCATCGATATTTCCAATTTTAAATGACTTCTTTTAACGCGTGTGATTCATATTTTAGTTTGATTTACATTTTCTCAGGCAATAAAACCCGCTACTATCTTTGTACCACATAACCACCATTACTCTCAGCCTGAGGTTCCTTCAGGACATCATGGTCATATGATGAACCCTCCTTACTCGCCGCTAAGGCAGAACAACAGTTACAACTTTTCACCATCAGCATTTCAGCAACATGGTGGTAGAAACAACAGCACTTACCATCACCAGTCTCTAGCATCAATGCTTCCGCAGCACAGAAACAGTAATCTGCCTCAATCTGTTGTCCCTACTGTTCCTTCTGCCTACAGTTTTGGTAGTAATAACAACACTAACCATCATCAGTTTCTAGCATCAATGCTTCCTCAGGACAGAAACAGTAATCTGCCTCAATCTGTTGTCCCTATTGTTCCTTCTGCCTACAGTTTTGGTAGTAACAACAACACTAACCATCATCAGTCTCTAGCATCAATGCTTCCTCAGCACAGAAACAGTAACCTGCCTCAATCAGCTGTACCTATTGTTCCTTCTGCTAATGATCCTGCTTATGAGTACAGAAACAGTAACCTGCCTCAATCAGCTGTACCTATTGTTCCTTCTGCTAATGATCCTGCTTATGAGTACAGAAACAGTAARCTGCCTCYATCAGCTGTACCTATTGTTCCTTCTGCTAATGATCCTGCTTATGAGTACAGAAACAGTAATCTGCCTCGATCAGCTGTACCTATGATTCCTTCTGCTAATGATCCTGCTTATGGTTCTGCTTACGGTTTTGGCACGTTGAGTGATAACGCTGCAAACTCGGAATTCGAATATGGCAACGTCTTACGTTCACTAGTGAGTGGGAACAATCACGTACCACGAATTCAGCATCAGGTAAAACCAATCAAATTCTCTCTTCATGTTTGAGCATTTGAAATTTCGGTTTGGTTTGATTTTTGTTTCTGTTGGTTTTTGATCTCAGAGTGCAAACTCAGATGTGTGGATTCCTCAAAGACTAACCGACCCGGGTTTGCTTTCGGAAAGGGAATATCAGAGCTTAATCTCAGGTCATCAGAATCAGCAGTCGCCAAGTTTCAGACATAGC